TTTTTTTTTTTTTGGGACAGAGTTTCGCTCTCGTTACCCAGGCTGGAGTGCAATGGCGCGATCTCGGCTCACCGCAACCTCCGCCTCCTGGGTTCAGGCAATTGTCCTGCCTCAGCCTCCTCAGTAGCTGGGATTACAGGCACGTGCCACCATGCCCAGCTAATTTTTTGTATTTTTAGTAGAGACGGGGTTTCACCATGTTGACCAGGATGGTCTCGATCTCTTGACCTTGTGATCCACCTGCCTCGGCCTCCCAAAGTGCTGGGATTACAGGCGTGAGCCACCGCGCCCGGCTATTTTTTAATTTAAAGATAGGGTTTCACCATGTTGGTCAGGCTGGTCTTGAACTCCCGACCTCAGGTGATCCGCCCACCTTGGCCTCCAAAGTGCTTAGATTACTGGCGTGAGCCACTACGCCCAGCCTAATTTTTGTATTTTTAGTAGAGATGCGGTTTCACCATTTTGGCCAGGACGGTCTCGAATTCTTGACCTTGTGATTCATCCACCTCGGCCTCCCAAACTGCTGGGATTACAGGTGTGTGCCACCATGCCTGGTCTGTATAGTTTTTATATTAATCCTTATATGGACTGGATTCTTGTCTGAGACACAATTCCAAATTTTGACTGCCTGTAGCTATGAGATTTAGTGTGCTGTATTCAAGTGGGAGCGTGACAATTCTTATTTTCAGCTGGGCGAGGATACAAGAGTCACAGTCTCATTGGTGTGTTGGGCCCTATCATGACACACTGTGCAGCTAAAGGGCTTTAAAATGTACACCTGAGAGTCACTATCTGCTCTGATACCTTCATGCCTGTATGGATTCACAATCTTACTCATTCCCTAGAATCAGGAACGAGATTGAACATCTCTCTTATTGGCTGGATCCAGGTATGAGAGTTATCACCGTTCCTGTGATCTGAGTCCATCAATGAGTCACCATGGGAACTGTGGCCATATTCACTTATGATCATCACAGGCCCAGAACCTAGGGATGTGAGGCTCCTGCCTGAGCCCTGCCTGCAGCGAGCCTGTGACATATGTCTGCATCCATCACCTCAGAGTTGTGATACATTTTCTGCCTGAACTTTGCCAACAAGAAAAATTGTGACATATTTCTGCACCCAGCAACCTGTTGATGTGTCTCTCCTGCCTTGGATTGTCCCACAGAGAGCATTGTGACATACTGCTGGGCCCAACACCCAGGTGAGCTGACTTTGTTCCTGTTGTATTGCTTTCAGGAGGAGATTTTTAAATATTCTTGGCTAAGCATGCTAATGATGTGACCCTTCAGCCTGGTCTCTGCTTTCATAACAGACTGTGACATATCCATGGCCTAGTGCCTAGGTGCTGTGTCTCTCCTGCTTGCTCCTACTGAGAGGTGGCATTGTGACATATACCTTGGTTCAGCTCACAGGTACAATAATGACTAGCATACCTTGTGTGTTGAACCAGCGAACAGAAGAGATACTCTCATATTTAGGCTTACAAAAATGAGTAAGGCCCTGTGTCTCCTCTTTGTAAGAAGCTTATAGAAAGTTACTACTCTCACCCACCCTCTCACATTGACAGAGCCTACAGGTGATGTTTTGAATCTCTCATGCAAATGTAGTCTACAGCTTAAATTGTGACATTCATACCTCAACATCAAGCCACAAATGGAATGGTTACTCATGTTTAAACACAGCTTTTAGGCAGATGAAAACTCTCCTATCTGGACACGATCAATAAG